AGAAGGAGGACAGGGAGATGAGGATGAGAAGGAGAGGGAGGAGAAGGAGAAGGAGAAGGAGGACTGATGCAAAGGCCACCACTCATCACCTCCCATGGGGAGACAGATGCCCAGCCTGTTCCTGACCAAAATCTGGCCAACTCCCTCCCTCAAACTCCCTCCTCTCCATTTTATTGCTGAGCACGACATGATATGGCCAGAACTATTGCTTTGGTTGGGTTGGGTCATCTGCCTGGCTGTGTGCCCCCTCCAGATCTCTTGTGCATCTCCCAAATGTATTCACTGTTAAATGAACAGGACACAAATCTGAAAGCCACTGTGAGCAAAATCCACAATAGTTGATAGAAACTTCAAAAAAAGAAGTATTTCTTCTATTAATGATAAGGGGACATATACATACACTTGGCACGTGTGTGTAAATATATGTGTGTGTGCACCTACATAATGAAGGGAGCATCCCAAATGTTTGATTTTTATTGCAGCATCCTGGCTGGATTTTTGCTTCCTCCAAACCACCCAAGATTTTTTTCCATGGTTTCCCCCATCGGCACCGCCTCCTTCCTCGGGGTGAAATGGTCGCCAAGCCACTGGTGAGAGCGGCTCATCCCTTGCCATCACGGTCCAGAATCCCTGTATCCCACCAGGAAGCATGAAAGCCTCAGCCTTGGTGAGCACCATCATGGAAGTTCATCTGGAGAGTTTGTAATCAGGTAATAACTAACGGTACGGGCTTTCAACGAAGGAAGTGATGAACAGGGAGAGATAAACACATTAACAGGAAACCAAATAAAATACAACACGATGGTCACAGCTTGTAACATGAGATGCCAACCAACATCCCACCAAAACGTTGTACCAAGGCTATCCAGCGGTTTGTTCAACCTTGGGTCTTGTTAACGACCCCGCTGGCTAACGAGACTATATAATCCCTTTGGACTCAGGGGAGCACCTTGGTTTTGCCAGGAAGGCAACGTTTCTTCTACATCGCCTTTCCCTGGACCCACAAGTCCCCATAGAGATGCTGGGGCTCTTGGATGTGATGGTCCCACGTGCTGGGGTAAAGGAAGAGCCGCGTTGTCCATGTACCCAAGGCACCTGCTGGTAAATCTCCTCCTTCTTTACATCTGTGTGCAGGCACTCACATTTAAAAGCAGCAGGGCTCACACAACCACTTATCCCCCCC